TTATCTAATTTGGAAAATCAAGAACACCTAATATCAGTAATATTATTTAAACTAGAACACACATTATTTATATTTACAGATTCTTTAGTAATATGCAGACTATGATCATATTTATTATTAACATTATTTTTTATATTTTCAAAACATATTATATCATCAGAATTAATTGTCATTTTAAATTATTGTTAATACTTAAGACCATTCTAATATATTATCTAGTGCCTAAAACCTCTCTTTTATGATAATATCGTACTTGAAAGTAGGGAAGCAAACATTTGACGGTGAGAGAGTCATCTTATCATAAAATTACCCAAAATTAATGCTAATTGGTTACAAAGTTGGATTTTGGATCCATCTTCATGGAGAGGATAATCTGTGTGTTTGCCCTTTTTCTCTTTTAATAATCTTGAACCCCTATTTTTCCCACATTCTTCTCATCAGAGTTCATTCGCTTGCCTAGGTTGTGCTTTATTAGTTTTTTTGTTGGGTGTTCGTCTTTGGGTCTCAATTCGGCGATGTCTTGGTTGGGTTGGGTGTTTGGATAGTCGGTTGGGTATTGCTTGGGTGCTTGAGTTGCGCGGGGGTTTTGAGTGTGGATCAATTTGGTGTGGGTCGATTGGGTGGGTGAATGGTGGTCTATGGTGAGGAGGTCGGAGTCTGTGTCGGCCACGGGTGGTGGTGTTTGGGCCATGGAGGAGGGTGGTATTTTGGCCATGGGTGTGTCCAGCCGTGGAAGGAGAATCTGGGTCTTCAAAATGGTGGCGTGGGTGTGTTCGGCCAACGGTGTTCTTGGGGGTTATTTTGGTTGGTTTCAGCCATGGATGGTGGCGTTTCGGCCATGAAGGTGATCGGCGTCTAGGCAGAATCTGGGTATCCAAAATGGTGGTGTGGGTGTATTTGGCCAGCGGTGCTCTTAGGGGTCTTCTTGGTTGGTTCCGCCCATGGATGGATGGTGTTCAGCCATAGGAGGTTTTCGGCCATGGAAGTGATCAGCATCGGAGGCTAAATGGTGTGTGGTCGGAGATGTGCTTTGGGAGGTTGAATGGTGCTTTGGGAGCTGTGGGGGACAGGCGTGGAAGACAAGTGTGGGAAATTGAAGGTTTCGGGGGATTTTTTCGCATTGGGTAGTAGTGTTGGAGTCCGGATTCTCGGCCGTCCTACTCGGTAGTCCTACCCAGCAGTCCCCAAAACGACGTCGTTTTGGGGATAAATTTTCAAAAAAAAAAAAAACGCAGAGGAAGAGAGGGAGGAAGGAGAGGAAGAGGGAGGAAGGAGGAGGGAGGAGGAGGAGGAAGGGAAGGGCCGGCCGGACTGGAGGGGGCCATAACCAGTGGGGGAGGAGGAGGAGGCGGCGGAGGCGGGGCCGGAGGCGGAGGCGACGGCGGTGCACAGCTGCTGCGACCAGCTGCTGCGACGAGCTGGACGGCTGCGACGGCCGGCGGCATGGCGACGAGCTGCGATGGCGCAGCCTCCTCCCTCCTCCTTCCTCCCTCCTCCTTCCTCCCTCTTCTCCCTCTCCCTCCCCCCTCTGGCTTCTGTGAGAAGAGAGAGAAAACAAGAACGAAGAAGAAGAAAAGAAAAAAAAAACAAAAAAACAAAAAACCCCCAAAACGACGTCGTTTTGGGGGGCTGCCGGGTAGGGCGGCCGAGGATCCGGATTCCTACAAACTATATAATGTTGGCAGTGTTTGGAAAAAAAAAATTTGGTTTTTTTTTTTTTTACTGAAAGACAAATTGATTACGAAATTAAAAAAAATAAATTCAAATAAAATATCACATCAAATTTTATAATTATCTTATTTTTTCTTTTATAAATATCACATTTAATCACAAAAAAAACTCTTAATTATCATTTTAAACACAAAAAAAAATTTCTTTAATAATATTCTACGATTAAAAAAACTTACAAAAAAAATTCATTTCTCAAACACCCATAATACCTACTTAACTATTTATTTATTTATGTTTGCTTTTGTTTATTGGAAAATGTTTTAGAATTCTTAGCTGTAAAGTAACATTAATTTGTCTTCTTTTTCTTTGTGTTTTGTCTTTTTCGTTTGTTTGTTTTTGATTTTTTTTTTTAGGATGTGTCAGCTCAGTAGAGGTGTCTATCAAAATCCTTGTTTATATAAAAATCGTGAGGATAAAGGATTGTGTGGATGATAGGAATAGTTTGTACTTTTTAAATTTTTCTTGATGCATTTTATTTTCTATATCTTTAATTTTTTATTTTTAGGTGTCATTTGACATTGATTAAAATAATCAATTTTTTTATATTAAGACTTTTTTATCTTGTTTTTTTTAGTCTCGTTTTATTTTGATTTTGATTTTTTTTTTAATTTTTGTGAGAAAAAAATATAATAATAGTAGATAAAAAGTAATATTTTATTTTATTAACTTATATAACTTGTTTTGTATTTTTATACTTCTTTTAACCCCAACAAGTTTTCCAAACGAGGACTTAAACTTGCTTTGGCAAGCTAGCAAAAAGTAATTTTTAACTTTTTAAGCCAAAAAGTTAACTTTTTAAGCCAAAAAGTTAACTTTTTTGACTAAAAAAATTAAAAGTTCATTTTTTACTAACTTTTTAAAACACCACTTAATAAGGTGTCGTTTGGTAACACTTACGTTTTCAGTTTTCTGTTTATATTTACAAAAATTTAAAAAACTCAAATAAAAACTTGTTTGGTAAAATTTTTAATTTATAAATCAGTGCGACGAACCCACTCGCGGTCACCGACGAACCCAGCCACTCTCGATCTCGATCTCTGTCACCACCAGCACCGAACCCACCGACGGCGTCGCTCAGATTTGTCTGTGTTAGATCTGTCTCTGTGTGTGTGTGTGTGATTTGATCTGATCTGATCTGATCTGTGTCTATGTTAGATCAATTTTTTTCTGTGTGTGTGAGTGATCAGATCTGATCTGTGTCTGTGTTAGATCAATTTTTTTTTTTTTTAAGTTTAAATCTGTAATTTTTTTTTTATCTGATCTGATCTGATCTGTAATGAGTGTGAGGCATCTGAATTTTTTTTTTTTTTTATAGCTGGGGAATGCTCGGGGTCAGGGAAACCCGATCCCCGTTGGGGGCGGGGGTGGGGGCAGTGATAGAATCCCCGTCGGGGATCGGGGCCGGGAAAAATGCGATTATCGGGGATCGGGGACGGGGAGTGTGATCCCCGGCCCCGCCCCGCCCCGCCCCGTTGCCATTCCTAATCAAAATCCTTGTTTATATAAAAATCGTGAGGATAAAGGATTGTGTGGATGATAGGAATAGTTTGTACTTTTTAAATTTTTCTTGATTAATTTTATTTTCTATATCTTTAATTTTTTATTTTTAGGTGTCATTTGACATTGATTAAAATAATCAATTTTTTTATATTAAGGCCAAGTTTGGCTAACAACAAAAAAGTGCACTTATTTCATCTTTTTATCTTTTTTGGGTCACATCAATCAATATTTTCTCTCTACTTTTTCTACACATAATACAAAAAAAGTCAAAAAGTACACTTATTTAGTCTTTCCAAACTTGGCCTAAGACTTTTTTATCTTGTTTTTTTTAGTCTCGTTTTATTTTTATTTTGATTTTTTTTTAATTTTTGTGAGAAAAAAATATAATAATAATAGATAAAAAGTAATATTTTATTTTATTAACTTATATAACTTGTTTTGTATTTTTATATTTCTTTTAACCCCAACAAGTTTTCCAAACGAGGACTTAAACTTGCTTTGGCAAGCTAGCAAAAAGTAATTTTTAACTTTTTAAGCTAAAAAGTTAACTTTTTTACCCAAGTCACTATCTAAAAAGTTAATTTTTTTGACTAAAAAAATTAAAAGTTCATTTTTTACCAACTTTTTAAAACACCACTTAATAAAATTTTTACTTTGTTTATAAAAAAAGAAAATGAAAAAGAAGAAGCAGCGGCGGCTAACATCAACATAAGAAAGATTTGAATTAAGGAAAAAATTAGAGTTATGGAAATTTTGTCATGAAAATAATTATGAAAAATTTATAATTTTTAGATTACCTCGATTAGTGTGTAATGTTTTATTCTAAGTGTAATCTAAGGATTAAGAAACTTTCATGATTATTTTCATGAAAGGTTTTTCATGATACCTAGCATTGCTGCTGAATTAATCGTACAAAGAAAGGAGTACGAGAAGAGCAAACTATACATCAATAAGTGTATATTTTAATTTTTTATAAAATAATATGTAAAAAAAATAGAAAAGTAACGTATTCTAAACAAAAATACTTATTCAAATAAATGCACTTATTTAAGAGATACCAAATAACCTCAAAATCTAAATTATAGCGTGACAAACGTCATCAGACCTTTGCAACAACAATAAGGATATAATTGTGAAACGTTTCTGGTTTGAATTCATTTTGTTCCTTCAAAAGTAAAATACATATACAAGGACTCCAAAAGAGATAGAGCTTATGGCAGCAAATAAATCACTTCATTATTTTATTAAATTGCTCGTGTCTTCTTTTTTTTACTTCCCCTTCTTTCTTTGTTTTAAAATTATATTCACACTTCCCGTTATGAGCTTGGTCTTTCATATAAAAACGAAAAAAAACCAAGCCATCCAATCTTCTCACAAAAGAGAAACAAAAATATGAGCTTGGTCTTCCATATAAAAAAGGAAAAAAACCAAGTCATCTAACCTTCTCCCCCCACAAAAAAAGGGGTGAGGGGAAAAGAAAAAGGAAAAGATGAGCCGCAGGGTGGTGAATGATATGGTGGTGATGGTTTGGTGGTGATCGATGCGAAGGTACTGATTTGGGTGGAATGGAGGGTTATTCTTCCCCGACAAAACAATCACAGTTCGCTAAGTTCGCTAGAATACCTGGATACGTATATATATGGATTACAATCCTTCCTTTCTTGTTTTTTATCTTTTTTTATTTTGTTGTTATTGTTGTATTTTTTTTTTTTTTTGCAGAGTATGACAAGGCAGGAGTCGGGAGTCAGTTGTCTTAAGTTGAAAGGCGTGTTTGGAAGATCCAAACATCTGGTCGAGCAGGATGACAACGGCCATCGCTACACTTGAGTCGATTTCAGGCTGTTTTACAATGAGGCGGAATACGTCCATGCCAAAATCCACCCCTCCCACGGCTTCCTTGCGCTTGATCTCCGCCACTCGCCTCCTCTTTCCGTCGTACACCGCACAGCATCTTTGTGTGTACGATCCCTCTATCTCGTATATCATCACGTTCTTAATTGAATTTGAAGGCGACGATGACGATGATGATGATCCAGTAGTTCCAGTTCCGCTGCTGCAACATGAGCTCACGCGAGCTAATGACTTTGTATTTAGGAGGTTCACGTGCTTCCTCGCTGACAGTATAGGATTGACTGCTGTCTCTCCTTCATACATCAGCCACTTGCCCGATAGGCTCAGCCTCTAATGATCATTATCATCAAAATTAAAAATATCGATTAGATAAAAAAATAAAAAAATAAAAATAAAAATTGGCATATTAATTTATTGCTGAGAAAAATGTGTACATATATGTGTGGATCATGTTGTTGATGAATTTGCAAGTGGATGCAGATGGAAATCAACATAAATCCATACATACATACATACATACATATTATATATATGTATATAAACAGATATGTAAGGATGGTGGTGGTGGTATACCTTGCGGCGGATGGTGAGGAGGGACTTGCCGGAGGGGTCCATAAGAATAATCTCAGCCTTGGTGGCGGCAGAGTAATTGTCAACACGAAAGACAAGATTGCCGTGGGCGTTGAACACTGTAAAACCATCGCAGTTGAAAAGCAGCGATTTCTTCCACACGGTTAGGACCACCACAGAGTTGTCATCTGAAGTTGGAGTTAAAGTCGAAGTTGGGGAAGCATTCAGCTTCAACTTCGGCTTCTCCGAAACAGGAGCAGTGGCATTTGGGTATACCTTTGTCATTCCCAAACCCAAATCAGATTGGCAACCTAACCTAACCTACGTACGATACAATTCAAGAGCAAGAGCAAGAGTAAGAGGAAGAGAGGCTGAGAAGGGAGGGAATTGAGAAGATGCGGCAGTTTGGTTGGTGGTTTCAATATCCTGTGGCCTCCTCATATATATATGATATATGATATATGATATAGATGCATATGCATACATACATATTAATTGAAAAAGATGCCAGATATCCAATCCAAGCTAGGGCACACAATAGAGACAAGTCAGACTTTTGTTTATTAGAGGACGGAAAGCAAAACAAAAAGAATCACGCACACCTTTTATTCATACCACTCGAGTGGTGAAGTCGTAATCCAATTTAATATAAAGCGTGCTGTTTGGTGATTTTTCGTTTTTTTGTTCAGATATTTCAAATGAAAAAAAAAGTAGTGTTTTGCATTGGAGGATATTTTAGGAGTATTTTTTTAATAATTTAAGAGTGATTAATAAATTAATGAATTTTATATCAATATCATTAAGGGGTTTTGTTTGTTTTGTTTTATTTATAAAAGATAGAGTTATTCTTTAGTGGATTTTAAGGAATTTGGGTTTGGAATTTTGGTAAATTTCGGAGTGGTTTATTGTTATGGATTCAATATTAGCGTTGTGGATTCAGCGTTGAGAAAGACAATTTCGAGATGAAAATGATAGTGGAAGAGGGACATCGGGTTTGATTCAATTCGGGTGTGGATTCGCTAGATAATTGAGAATACTCTTGTCTAATTCTTGTTTTTATCTTCTTAGTAAATTGTTTTGTGCTTTGACCTGTGATTTTTATATCAAAATTAGAGGCACGCTAATTGTAATTTTTTTCTTCTTAAATCGTTGTGTCGATTTGTCATGATTATTTGACTGAGTTTGTTATTTATTGTTTTAAATTAAAACATAATCACAAATCTAGATCTTAAATTTTTTTTAGATTTTTTCAGTAGAGACATTGAAGTAGTGGTTCTAGCGATGATGATTTCAAAAGGCAATCAACGATGATGGATTATGGTGTCGCCACAACACTGATGGTTTTGATTGGTCATGACCACTGGTGGGATTGAAAGATACAGAGATGTAGAAGGATTGAATTTTTAGCAATAGCTGATTGATTGTGCTGTGCCCGTTGATTATAGAGGTTATTGCTTTGAGAAAATGAGGTGAGTTGAAGATAAAAATGTTTTTATTTTATGACTTGAACGTTGCCATAGTTAAAGTGTACATGAGTGAGAGAGCGTAAGACTGTAAAAACAATACACAATGAGAAATGTTATCTGCAAATTTTTTTTAGGTGTTTTGTAATTGTCAAAAAACTAGGGGACGTTAGTGTAAGAAAAATATTATAAAAAAAATGATTGCGATATCAAAAAAAAAAAAGAAAAAGAAAAAAAGAAAAAGAAATAAAAATGTCAAACTAGGCAGCAGCAGCATCCATATGGGAAGTTAGCTATTGTAAAACAAAATTAATAATTAAAAGTAAGGGTATCCCCCCTGAAAATAACAAAAAAGATAATTTTGTGGTTGAGGACGGTTAGCGGTGGAGAGAGACGACGCGTGGCTCCTCCATCGTTCTCTCTCTCCCAGATATTTTTATTAAGGGAATAAAGAAGTGGGGCGGCTGTGCTTTGTGCGGGTCTCTCACCAGACGCAGACGCAGATATATTGGTTTTTTTGGAACGAGCGTAAAAAGTGACTTTTTAATTTTTAATATTAAATTTTTGATTTTTTTAGACAAATGATTTGGAAGTTGGTAAAAAGTGACTTTGACTTTTTTTATTAATATTTTATTTATGATGTCAAATTTATTAAAATGACTAAACTACACCCATTTATTTAAAAATATTTACAACTCAACCTATGTTAACACATTGTCCACTCTTTGTAATTTCATCGTTGGCTAAAAACCAACTTGTCAAATGAAAAAAGTTCAAAAAAGCCAACTTTTAACTTTTACTACTAACTAAAAAAAGTAACTTTTAGCCAAATTCTAAATAGCCCTATACGGATGCTCTTCGTTCTCTCACAATTTTCATTAGTGATGGAGAGAGAGGGAGTGGGTTCCTCTCAGTTTTTTTAACTATCAGTTTTTTAGATTCGTTAATTAAAATGTTTGGAGCAAATTACGTATACTTCTCTTACATTTATTTAAGTTACAGTTATTTTAAATTTTGAAAATTATAAAACTTTTTAAATTTATATTTATAAACAAATTATCCTTTAAATTTATATTTTCATAACAATTTATCCTTTAATTTGTTTATGTAATATTAACCTTCAGGAATATCATAATTTCTTAAATCTTTAAAGGAGATATTTATAATTTTCTAAACTTCAAAGGGTATATGTAATTTTGTCCAAAATGTTTATGGCAGTGATACGGAGCTCGTACAGTACAATTCTAATCAAAGTCACGTGGAAAAGTTGAAACAAAGAAAATAAAAATATAGGTTAAAATATTCATATTCATGAAAATTTAAGATTGTTTGAGATGTTTTAAATAAGTATTTTTGTTTTTTTTAATTAAAAAATTGAGAAAGAAAATATGGATGTTGGGTTAACTTTTTGCTTTTTATGAAAAATATGTGAATAAAAAATTGTAAAAATTAATTTGTAGGAAAAAAATTAGGATTGGAAGTTCTGTAGCCGTAATTGTTGACTTTTGATGAATAGTGTTAATTTTTTAACTTTTTGACTTGTTTAAATTTTTTACAATATGCCAAAATTGGCCTTAATATTAAAACTCCCCTCTAGAATTTTTTTTTTTTTAATTTTTTTTATAGAACTTTTAATCTTTATCCAAATGTTTAATAGCAATTCAAATGCCAATAAGGCCGTTTATTTTCCGCCATACAGTTTGAGATAGACTGTGATGAAAGAATAGTGAAGCAACTCCATGTTTGTTTTAGTTTTGGAACTCTGGGTTTTTAATCTCTTCGGACTATGAAAGGTCTCAGTGATTCGAATTATGAATCTGAACTGGGAGATGATATTAGCAAAATAGTCCGTTGGTTTAGGGGGTGACCAGTCGTCCGGGGACGTCCAACAAGTCAATTGCAATTTTGTGTCTTTTTTTTTTTTTTTTTTTTTTAAACTTTTTGGGGTTTTTTTCTTAACATTAATGTTTAATGATTTTGTATTTTTTGTTAAGGAAAAATCATAATTTTGTTTATTTTATTATTTTATATAAAAATTAATTTAATAATCTTGGCATATAACAATTATAATCAAAATAAATATAATTTTACTAATTCTCTCACTATCAATCCCATCAGGGACTTGGGTTTCTGCTCTACCTTAAGGCACAGTAGGCTGCTATGAGGCCTTTCGGAGGAGTGTCCCAAATCTTTTTCGATAATACGAACCATTAATTTTGTAAGGTTCGTCGAATAGATCATTCACGCAAAAAATAAGTAAATTGGACATTTGTAGTCTCATAAAAAAAAACACACTTGTTTTTCAAAAAAAAAAAAACAGTTAACACGATTTTAATAATCTTTTTTAAAAAATTAGGAGTTGATCATGGAGTTATAGGTGTCTGACTAACTTGATTTTTTACATGAATAATATAATCGACAAATCTTACAATATAAACGGTTCAGATTATCAAAATACAATAAAAAAAAAATACCTCCACGAAACCACACAGCAAGGGGCAGCAGCAACCCTCAATCCATCCCATCACTAATAATTCTCTAATTATTAATTATCTCTATTCTACTTCTAAAAATAAACAGAGCCTAAGAAGGTACTTGCTGTGACTAATGAGTCTCGCAACTCAACCCAACTCAATCTAATCCAATTCCACATGCTTCACCAATTTCATTTTTTACAATGAAACGCCAGAATCCCAATCTTTGTTCTTAAATACATATCCACACGCGCGCACGCACACGCATATATATAAGAATCATTTAACTGTTTGAAATTCGTCTTTTCTTTCTAATTTTATATTTTTATTTTAATTAATTTATTAATGATGGTCTATGTGTTGAGTGAAATTTTTTTCATAATTACGCAAATATTTTTGATCAATTATGTAATAGGTTTTTTTGTAATTACGCGAATATTCTTGGTCAATCATAAAACAAGTTTTTTTCGTAATTACGCAAACGTTCTTGGTCAATTATGAAATATAAATCTTTTATTTTTTTTAACAAATTACAAATACACTTATAAGGTTTGTTTAAAATAATAATAGGTTTTATAATACTAGAAATTACAACTACTGTTTGTTATAAATTTTCATTTAACACAATACTCGGAGAAAAAAAAAAAAACCAATTCTGTCATGACCCAAACCTATCCCTAAAAGTTTGGAGCATGACCGGCCTGTACTCAAGCCTTAGGGACAAAATTTCAAATTATTCAAATCATATCGGGGCTTAAAGCGGAAGCAAAACAAATAATAATGTCCATTGAGCTTGTGCATACATAATAACTAGAATACTTAAAAATATGTAGACACACTAGTAATTTATATTCATATACAAATCTTATATATCTCAAACACGTATTCATAAGACTCAATAATATACAAAACTCTAACAATACAAAATTGAAGCCTCGACACAAAGGCACACCTTGGATGGCTTGACATAATAGGCCCACAAAAGAACTCCAGAGGCAGACCTAAGGTTGGTCTCCAAGTTGATCACTTACAAAACATAATGAATATAGAATGAGCCAGGCTCAGTGAATAATAATAATGTATGAGGACATAAATGAGCATGTGCCTTGCAGAATATGCATGTAATACATGTATGTCCTTTTTACCAACACAATCCAAAACGGCCTCGGGCCTAGCATAATAACACAATGGCCTCGGATCCAATAATAACAGAACGGCCTCGGGCCCAATAATAACAGAACGGTTCACATTTCATATCCATATTTCATATTACAATTCTTGTAGCTCATTCATTCGAAGAAAACATGATTTCAGAACGTCACAACATTTACGTACCAAAATAATACAAGTGAACATATCTTTACAATATTATTACTCACAGTGGTTTCTAGAATCTTGACCTGCAATCACAATGCACATAGCACAACATATCGAAACATAGAAGTACTTCATTGATCAAATTTACGTATCTTAATTTTTCTTAATTAAATGACCCGATCCCT